ACACATATATATCCATATATCCATACACACACACACACACACACACACATCTCCAGATATCGACGACAATCAGGAAATCCCACAGCCGTAGACTGAACTCAGAAGTTAAATAAATAACATAAAAAAAGAATATGCGTGACTGCCATATTCCATATTACTGCAGATAAAACAACATGGGCATATGTGTGTAATCATCAGAAGTCAAGCTCTACTCAAGGAAAACTTTATACTATTTTTAAAGCTATAAATATAAAAGGGAAGGGAAGAAGAGGGGCATATATATTTTACCCCATTTGTAGCATTCTCTCTTCCGCTCATGGATTGAAGCACAGCTTTATCAAGACCAAGTTTTAAGCTTGCTTTGTCAAACATTTCCCTTTCATAAGAATTCCTTGTTATTAATCTGTAGATCTTCACTGATTTGCTCTGTCCTATCCTGTGACATCGAGCCTGAGCCTGGAAAAACATGAAATGAGATGTATTTTTTTAAGCAGATTAAAATAGCTAGTAAAATGAACAAATGTTAGAACAAGGTGTTGTTTTAAAAATTTTGAAGTGTTCAAAGAAAATATATTATCTGAGCAATAAATTCTGGGGGAAGGGGGGCACTAGGGAAATTGAATGTGTCAACTGCCTTTTACAATATTACCTGAAGATCATTTTGAGGATTCCAATCTGAATCAAAAATAATGCAGGTATCAGCGGCTGTAAGATTAATCCCCAAGCCACCTGCTCTTGTGCACAATAGAAAAACAAATCTGTCAGAATCAGGTCTGGAAAACCTATCAATAGCTGCTTGACGAAGGTTGCCTCTTACTCTGCCATCAATTCGTTCATAAGGATATCTACAAAAACAAAGCAATATTAATAAGATATACCCTCCATGCCAGTAATTCAAGACTGAAAGTATTGTTCTCAGAAAATGCATCTTTTTTTCTTACTAGATTTTATAACTTTGCAGCTCAATTTCTGTTCTAGCTGTAAAAGGAAGTATATAAGTATATAAGAAATCAGTGAGCAGAAAGAGCAGTTATAAGATTTCTTGTTTCAAAAATGTATGTCAAATTGCTGAAAATTACACAAAGTTACAGAAAAAAATGTTACTGATATAATTAATTGGCTATGTCTGACCCAGAATTAAGAGCCTAAAAATTGTTCCAATTGAAAAAAATAAGAAAACATTTTTGAAAATCTAAGATTTATTAATGACTGTTTTATGGACTTTTATTAGAGTCTGTTACATATAATAGAAAATGGTTTTAATCATGTTTTATTCTAAAAGCATTATCGCTTTGAGCAAAGCTCCCACCACTCTTTGAGGGAGGTGGGCAATTTAGAAATGTGAAAAATAAATAAATAAATCATAAAGTCTAAAGTAAAAGGTTATATACTATGACTCTGAACAAAAATAATTAATGAGCATTATTTTGTTTAGGCATTCTTCTACTTTATTGTAAAATATTCCTTCTCTGTGCAACAGAGGCTAAATACTTAATAGAATAATTGATAGAATTTATTTCCTAAACTTAAACTATACTGTTGTTCTCACCGTCTTTGAATGAGGTAGTCTTCCAGTATGTCCAAGCAGCGCACCATCTGGGAAAAGATAAGCACCCTGTGGCCACCAGCCTTCAATTTTGGCAGCAACTTGTCAATCAGTACTAGCTTGCCAGCAGCCTGGATCATTGCCTGGAGCTGAAAATCTGGAGAGTCAGGATTGTGTGTTTCTTTAAACTCTTCCAAAATTTTCTCTTCAGCACCTGCAGAGATTGGACAGCAATATGTGAATATTTTAAAGGTTTTATTGATAAAACTATGAATTTACTTCCAGTTCCCCATACAATGTCTAAGAGTTTACACATTTATGTGTAAATGTGTATTTATATATTTATTTAAATTTAAGATGGAAAATACATAAATAAGTACAAACAATAAAAGCAAAGCTTCCAGCAAACAAGTTTCACAACAACATAGAGGTGCCAAGCCAGAAGTCATAACAAATTAGGGAGCAGTGAGTGACTGAATAATTAATTAGCAAATTAAGAACATTAAGTACAATATATATAACAGTGAACAGAGAACGTAATGACAAAACCATTTTTTTTTCCAGAAAGTGTTTTACATACTGTTACTAACCATCAAAACTATAGGTTACTTTAACTGAATTTTAGTATGAAACACATCTCAAAATTGAATGACTTCAATATCTACCAGTTAAAGACTACTTTGTGGGAAAATAAATTAAGTGTAGATCATAATCACAGTAAAAATGTCCCAATAAAAAAGGTTATAGATAAAAACTAACAAAATAAGGGCCACACACAGCAATTTATGGTTCCTCCACCACTACATTAAATATGAGTTATCTCATTGGAATTCAGTCAGAATCTGGGAGGTTTGATCATATGGGAGAGCAGTATATTAAAAAAAACCTCAGGACATCTTAAAATCATTATAACAAGGGTGTTTGCTAAATATGGCCGATTTGTTTTTGTTGTAATTTAGTTTTATCTTAATATTGAAAACAAGAACATAATGACACACACATTCTATAAATGAAAAAAATTAGTACAAGTAATTTAATGTAGGAAATAAGCTGTATCATATAGCAGTAACATTTGTGCAATGAAGCATTAGAATTCTATTGTATATCTTAATATAGTGTGTGTTAGACACGACAGCGGAAAGGAAAAGCACTGTGAAGAGGTATGTAAGTCTAGGTGCTATTGCTATTATCTATATTAACAAGCTGACATGATTTTTTATTATGTGGTTCAGTTCACATGTCTGACGTATCTAGGCAGTCCTAAATTTATTGATGTATAAGCCTATTGATGACAAAAATAAATGCCCTTTTAAAAGTAATTAGGAAATCATTTCTTTGATGAACATAATGACACCTGGCTTGAAGATACAAGAAAGGCAGTTGATTATTGTCATAAGGCATTGATGCAATCATTCAAGTAAGTTGGTATGTATTTAAACTTGGCATTTGGAGATTTACAGCCTCCTCAAAAATACAATTTGTTTTAAAATTGAAATCTGTAAATAATGTTGATTGTTAGTTGTGTTTAACTGTGTAAACTACCAAAATTCATATGGAAGTGAGCTGGGCGGCCATAATCCACAGATAACTACAGTCCTTACACAATGTTTTTATAAAATAAGAGAACCAGCATACCATTTATAAGATATGGATGGTTGCAACATTTTCTCAGTTCCATCATAGTGTTTAACAGATTAGGAACATTTGCTTGACCACCTCCTTTTGACAAAAATGCGAAATTCTTTTCAAGAATAGCTCTGTAGTATTTTTTCTGAATGTTTGTCAATTCAACTTCAATAATAGTTTCTTCCTTGGGTGCCAGGTTTTTCTCCACATCTTCTTTCAGTCGTCTTAACATCATTGGTTTTAAAATTGCTTGAAGTTTCTGAACCTGATAAAATAAATGTTTATATTACAATTTTCAATTCCTATTATAAATATCTTTATATAATATGTACATACTTCCATAATTTTCTATTATGCTGCAATTTTTGGAAAAATGAAAATATTTCCATAATTACTATTATCATTTATCAACAGTGTTTACAGGATAACTTTATTACGGTAAGAATAACTTCATTACAGTAAATGCTCTATTTAACAGATGATTTGGGGAAATGAGTTTCTGTTAAATCCAAATATCCATTAAATCAGAATTTACATCATTTGCATAATTACATAATTGACATGACTGGTGTCATTTGCAGTAAAACCCCAATTTAATAGAAACATGCTTGATATAATGCACATTATCTTGTTAATGGAATGAAGTCTGAACTGAACATTTGTCTTGTTTATACCAAGTCTGGTAAAAAGAGATCTGTTAAACAGATTGTTTACTATATTAACATGTACTAAAAGATTGTAGTAACATAGAACTATAATTCAAACATTCAGAGCAATTAACATGCACTGGAGATATTACATGACTAAAGAAGTCTTAATTGTATGAGATTTAATCATGCCAATAATTGAATAATTAAATTATAGTAAATAAAAAGGCTCATGTGATACAATAGTACAGCCAAATCCTTGTAGACTGCACTATATTTATTAAACAATATATTATCTTTCTTCTATAATGGGATATAACATTTTATATTGCTATTGTATGAGCTAAAATATTGGTAATATTTTGCATACTTCATTTAAAAAGCCTATTTATGAGATGTATTTGATCTAATAATCTCCAGATGTACTGAATTAACAGCTAGATTCCTAGCTGACATTGTTCAAATGTTTTAAATGCTTTAAATGTTTTTAAGAAATTGTTTTGCTTTTAAATACTTGGTATTATTTTGCTTTGTTTTAAGTATCACTATAAATATTAATAAGGGACTTGGTAGCTCAGTGGCTAAGACGCTGAGCTTGTCGATCGAAAGGTCGGCAGTTCAGCAGTTTGAATCCCTAGTGTCGCATAACGGAATGAGCTCCTGTTACTTGTCCCAGCTTCTGCCAACCTAGCAGTTCGAAAGCACGTAAAAAATGCAAGTAGAAAAATAGGGACCACCTTCAGTGGGAAGGTAACAGTGTTCTGTGCACCTTTGGCGTTTAGTCATGCTGGCCACATGACCACAGAGATGTCTTCGGACAGCGCTGGCTCTTCGGTTTTGAAACAGACATGAGCACTGCCCCCTAGAGTCGGGAACAACTAGCACATATGTGCGAAGGGAACCTTTACCTTTATAAATATAAATAATTTTAAATAATAATAGGCTGACTCTTATATTCCAGTAAAGTTCACTAGTTTACATTTACACAGAATCTGTTTAAAAGTTACAATTTTTTTTTTTTAAGTTTAGATTCATTTTGACAATAATAAAGTGTAAAACCTCCTATAAGTAAAATAGTTTAGTTCCAATAAAAACAAAACTGTTACTCTAAGGAATTTTTCAAAATTGGTGACTATTATAATTGGAAAGAAATATTGTGGAATAATTTACCTGTTCCTCAGTTTTTAGATCACCAAATTCTTGCATGAAAGTGGTTTCTGAAGGAAAACGACTTGGTTCCAAGAAATGGAGCAAGCTGAAAAGCTCTTCTACAGTATTTTGCAAAGGAGTCCCTGTTAGAAGCACCTTGTGTTCCTGCAAAAAATAAGACAATGAAAACGTTTTTATTCATTTATTTTGTATTTTTATTTATTTATTAAATTTTTATGCTATCCATCTCCACTACAAGGGAAGATCTGTTTCATGTCCATTTTTTCCTATTGCATTTTAGGTATTTTAGATCAGTAGTTCTCAACCTTCCTAATGCCGCGACCCTTTAATACAGTTCCTCATGTTGTGGTGACCCCCAACCAGGGGTGGGTTCTAAATTTTTTTGCTACCGGTTCTGTGGGCATGGCTTATTTTGTGGGCGTGGCTAGCTGGTCATGTGACCGGGTGGGCATGGCTAGCTGGTCATGTGACCGGGTGGCCATGACTATGTGTATAGGGACCACTCAGAGGGCTGAAAAAAGTCATTTCTGACAGGTCCTCGCACTTTTGACTGGTCCTCACACTTATGACCATCCTCACATTTATGCCCGTGCAGCATTCTTAACAACCATGTCACTCATTTCACAACTGCTTCTTTTCACCATGGTGATAAGATAGGGCAAAAAACATAAAATGTGAGGATAGTCGTAAATTCGAGATCTGGTCAAAAGTGTGAGGACCAGTCAAAAATAACATTTTCAGCCCTCTGAGTAGTCCATGTGCACAAAAGGACTGCCCAGAGGACTGAAAAAAGTGATTTCTGACAGGTCCTCGCACTTTTGACCGGTCTTTGCACTTATGACTGGTCATCATTTATGCCCATTGTAGCATTCTTAACAACCGTGTCACTCATTTCACAACTGCTTCTCTTCACCATGGTGACAAGATAGGGCAAAAACGTAAAATGTGAGGACAGTCGTAAGTTCGAGGACTGATCAAAAGTGCGAGGACCAGTCAGAAATAACTTTTTCAGCCCTCTGAGTAGTCCATATGCATAAAAGGATACAGCAATAGAGAGGGATGAAGGAAGGGAAGGGAAATTAGAGTAGGAGTGAGGGTAAGAGAGGGAGGAAGAGAGGAGGAGAAGGAGAAAGGAAGAGGAAGTAGGGAGGAGAAGAAGAGGGGGAGGAAGAGAAAGTAAGAAGGAAAAAAAAGAGAAAGGTGGTAGGTTTGAGGAGAAAGATTGCTGTACAATAAAAAAGATGAAAGGGAAGAAAGCCAACCCCAAACAAATATAAAGATATTAAGATAAAGAATGAATTGTTAAATTTTAAAGAATAAAAGAGAACAAATATGAATAAATAGCAATAATTAGAAACACACATACAAACATACAATTTATTTTCTTTGAACAGAGTATTTGGCCGGTTCACAAATTTAAACAGTGTTTAGTCATTTCAATTAAATTTACAATTCTATATTTCCTTTTTGCCATATTTATTCCTCATCTATTTTTGTAAAAAACCAATATTACCCTTCATCCTCATCTCTAATCTTAATCAAATTCAATTTTTCCCTTCTATTCTATATTATACCCCTTCCCATTGTCATCTATTTTTATATCCATCCTCACATTGGTTAATTATGTAATATTACAATTGTTTAATATAAATTCAACATTTTAATATAAATCAATTAGTTATATAACTACCTTTTTTGTATATTAATCAATATGAACATGAATATTCCAATTATTTCCATGTAATCCAAATTCTTACAAATCAATTAATTATATTTACCAATAATAATAAACCAAATAATTTCCCCCATATATTCCTCCAAACCACAACTTAACCATTTCTGCTTTCAACACAATATACAATTAATAGTATCTCAATTATTACAATTTCCTAGTTAAATAGAGCTTTTTTTCTTTTGTGTTTTAAAATCTTGAACTCTCCTCTTTTTCCCTAAATTTCCCATTGTTTGCACCTACCTTTTTTGGTGAGGAAAAAGAAAATAAATCTGCCTGCCTAATTTTCCAAAGATGCAGCAACAGCAAAGCCAACAGCCTGCTTTACTTTCAGTTTCGTTTTTCAGCATAGCTAGGGGGGAAAAAATCTGCTCCAGTAAGCAGCAGAGCCCTGAGCAAAACAGCTGAAAGCAAATCAGCTGAGAGTCGGGAGCCGATCTAATCAAGGGCTAATTTGCCTATGCTGAAGCTCCGCGGGCCAATAAAATTAGAAAAAAACACCAAACCGTTTGTTAAATTGCTGGCTCGCCCGCCCCTCGCCCACCACTATTTATTGGCAATAAATAGTGGTGCGGAGGGGTGGGCAAGGGGCGGAGCGGAACCGGCAGAATCCCACCACTGGCTATAGGGCGGCCCTTTGAAGCCCCGTGGCAAGAATTTAAAGTTTTTTTTCCTCTAGCCATCAGCTGGGACTCAGGAGGCAGCAATAGATTGGGAGTGGGCGGGGTAAGCGAACGGCCGGCGATCCAACAGAGCAGAGAGTGAGGGTGAGTGAAGGCGTGCGGGGGGGCGAGAGAGGGCTTTGGCAACCCCTGTGAAATGGCCATTCGACCCCCAAAGGGGTCGCGACCCCCAGGTTGAGAACCGCTGTTTTAGATGTTTAAAGTATGCAAATGAATTGTAGGTGTTTCATAGCATTCTCTTAAGCAGGAAAATTGTAATGGCAAGAATGTTAACAAAACTGGAATTCAAATGGAGAGAATTAAAAGAATTTTCTCTGAGATTTAAGAATATCAATACCTACCAGGTCCATCATTTTGAGCCCTTCTAGCAGCTTACAATTTCTGTTCTTCAGCCTGTGAGCTTCATCAATTATCACACATCGCCACGGAATGTTACGGAGCTCAGGACAATCAGTCAAAATCATTTCAAATGTTGTAATGATGGCATGAAATCTGTATGATCCTTTAATTGCCCGACCCTAAAAGCATAGAGATTATTATGTAATTATTATATATGGTTAAAACAACTTATGCATGATTCAAACCAGTAGTAGGTTTCAAATCCCATCGCTACCAGTTCGCTTGTGGACACACACGCGCAATGTTTCTGCATATGCGCAGAAGCTTCTGTACATGCACAGAGATATCCGGGCGGGTGGGTGGAACCTCCAGCCGCCGCTACCGGGGCGAACCGGTAGAAACCCACCACTGATTCAAATGTTTTCTTTCAAAACAAAAAGGTTCACTGACTAATGATGATAGAATTGTGGATAATACCGAAATCCTGCTCTTAAACCTAAACCTCTAAAACTCAAAGAATTTACTTTGGAAGTTGAAAGTTACTACAACATTGTGCATTCTTTATAAATGTTACCAACAGTATCAAATGTTCTGTGGAATACTGATAATGTGACAATGTGGAAAGAGAGCCATATTAATAACTTGGATCTGCATAAACAATCTGCACTCTCCCCACTCCACCAACCCTAATTTTTTAAAATTTAATTTAATTTATTAAATGTATATACCATCCTTTAAGCCTAGAGGCCACTCAGTGGCTTACAGAGTAAAAACATCAAAGTAAAACATTAAAATAGTAGGATGATAAATATGAATATTAAAAATAATATTAAATTTATATCCCAATGAAGGGAACTGCAGCACCAAAAGCTTATGCTTTTTAATAGTTGGAAAAAGTGCTACCAGACTCTTCCAGATTTTTTGATATGATAAAAAAATGTATTTATAAATCGTTCTTAGTTTTATTTAATCAGAGTGGAAAAACTGTATTCTACTGTTTTAAATCTCCTGATTTAGGAAACCTTAATAGAGTAATATTTATGTGTGCAGAATTTATGGAAAATATTTCCCTTTGGCAATCTCTTTTCCAATCCTTACTTTAAATTTTGAAACAACAAAGGGCAATAACCAACAAGAAGAAATAGTTATTTGAAGTCATATTTTATTATACTAATAACATTTACCTGTGGGTCTTTGAAGTACATTTCATATGTCTGAATCATCCTTCGACTGGCTTGGCTCCCATGATACACAACAACATTCAACTCTGTCCAAGTACGGAATTCTCTTTCCCAGTTGGGGATTGTAGACAATGGGGCAATAACCAAAAATGGACCATGGATTCCTTTTAAATATATCTCATAGAGAAATGTAATGGACTGGATAGTTTTCCCCAATCCCATTTCATCTGCTAAAATGCAGTTGCGTCTGCAATGAATAAATGTTCAATTCTGAAATTATAATTCAGCTCCTCAAATGAAATTTACAAACCACTTCCTTATTTATTTGACTATAAGAATCCTATGTATCATAAGGACATTTACTTTTAAGAATTAAATAGTGTCCTTCTTAAAACAGAAAAAAAACCCACTTCAAGGTTTAATACAAATTCATGTACAGAAAAAATACACACACAGGGATGGGGACAGGGGGAGAGAGAGAGAATATAGTCACAGAAGTTGCTATTTTACTAACTAAGATCATTAAAACACCCTGTATTTTAAAATATTCAGGGATATTAAATTAGAACAAACTATACTGTTTTACAATGAATGCATGTTACATACGTGTTGTACCAGTTGAAAAGAAGCCAGTTTACTCCTTCCAACTGGTATTCCCTGAGTTTGTTGTTGTTTTTATATTCTCTGGAACATTCTGATTTCTTCCAGTCATCAGCAGGAGGTCGTTCCTATTTCAAATGCAGCAAATCGTATTAGTGGTTTCCACAAACCACATTATTAAGCTACTATTAAGAAACATTTTCAATAGAAAGCTAAACCTTACCACACGTTCTGTTTCTGGCTCCCTAGCCACTAGTTTCTCATATTCTTCAATCTTAGCTTGATCTATGTCTTGCTTTAATTCCCATGTGCTGTCTTCATATGGAAGTGAACACCATTTCACCAAATAATGAATCACAGGCTTTTTTAAGGGAAAAAAGCAAATAAAATGATTATATGAAAGTCAATGAATATGATCAATGGCATTGTAATTTTGTAAACTAAATAAAGCATATTTCATTGAACTTCTATTTTTAATGTAAAAACAGCACATAAACCGAGAAAGTACTTTGTTACATCACTTTTAATGTTACTGATTACTAACCCATAATTCCAATTCTTTTACTATCTGTGAATTCACCAATGACTGACCCTAGAAAACTAAGTAAAGGCTCTCAGAAGAATACACTAAGTTTACAGATAAGTGTGCTGAATCAGTAAGGAAAGTGGTTTTCCAAGAGAGCAATTGCAATGAGTATGGAACCAGAAGTTCAAATGGTTTTGAGATGGGTCAGGTTGAGCACTGGGGAAAGATTCCAAGGCAGCACAATAGCAATAGCACTTAAACTTATATACCGCCTCACAGTGCTTTAAGGTATAATAAATAAACAATAAATAGCTGAGGTAGAAAAAACATTTAAACTGCTTAATAGTAATCCTTATAAGTTGGGGAACTGAAAATCATACCCTGTAAGTTGAAACTACAGCTAGATCTTTTCTTTTTCCTTTAAACTTTAACAAAAATGTAGTTGAGTTCTCTCTGAAGGCTCTAGCAGGCCGAATACTTTTTCTATTTTTTAAGCATAAATTTTCTGTGTGGAATATTTTGTGAAAGGTCACATGTGTTCTACTGCAAGTGAGAAACATGAAACTGATAATTTCCAAACCATATTTCTGAGCACCATCACATCTCGATGAACCATTTTTCTTCTATTCAAACATGTGCAATTCTTGGAGACTGCTTGGACAAGTCCCTGAACTGTTTTTTGGCAAGGTTTTTCAGAAATGGCCATTGTATGCATATGGATGAACCAATACATATCCAATATCTTATCTTATCTTATCTTATCTTTTCTTTTCTTTTCTTATCTTTTAATAATATCTAATTTGAAAGTCCGGGAAAAAAAATCACCCAAATGGGAGAATCAATAGGGTGCAGAATTGCTTAATCTGGACTACTTTTAATAGTCCCTTATTTTCTATCAGAAGAAACTTGAAAGTTGGTGTGCCTTGAATATTCTTAGATGTTCCACTTAGTTTATATAATTATGAGACTCTTGCCTGATTTAAGGGCACTGCACTTGCCATGATGACAGTGTATTCCCAACCAAGTGTTTGAAGCATTGGTATCCATTATCAATAGAAAAGGGGTTACAAAAAGCGAGAACAATCCAGATTCTGCTATGCAAAGTCCATGAAACATAAGGAGGTGACCAAAGACAACAGCAGTTGGCTTTTGTTTAAATTGAAGCTTTCTAGAAAAAACAGGCCCACAATATCCTCTTCTGGATAATGGCATAATTGCACTAATTGCAAGTATATTGGGATAGGTTCAAGACGGTAGCTGCAAATTAACTTTGAGATGAGACCCCAATGGACATAGTAATAATAAGGAAGGAATCCCACTGTTCATATCTAAAATATTCTAATGAAATATATAACCTATTTGGGAGAAAACTGTGACTCTTTTATAATTAATCAGAAAACCCAATCATTCTCTAAGTAGAGAAAAACAGAATGGACATTAGCTTTAAGTCTCTGAAGCAGAAGTCCCATCAACAATGCAAAATCCAGACATACTGTAAAAACATGATTATTCACTGGATGAACAGATTCTCTATCACACAGCAAAACTTTAGAGAGCCATTATTTTTCAAGGAACAGCAGAAAATTAATATGGATTATTAAGCACTCTGACTACTTTATAATTTACTGCTGATGGTGGGAGCAATGTAATTGTAAAACAAAGTATCAATCCAGTCTATTGAGGTAAACCAGCTTCATTTAAAAAGAAAAGCTAAAATAAAACCTATGAAATTTGGCTATTTGCAGATTGGTATTTGCATCCAGAAGATGAGATATCTTATAAAGATCTTTTTTTTTCAATAGTAGAATAAAAACCTTCCTTAAAATAATTCAGAGAGACTCACTTTCAAGTTGTTCTATGGCAAACAAACCTTAGTTTTTTGCATAGGGCAGTCTGTGACTTAAACCAGGCATTAAGGAGAAGAACAGAAATAGTCTGTGTGGTTATTGTGGGAGATCACTATTCATAAATTCACTATAATAGAATTCCAACCATAAAATTCCAACAGAATGAACTAAAAGAATCAAAAGTTCTACTTGGAATCCCAGCTTGGTCTCCTATAGATTTCCTGCATGGATCTAGCTGATTTGAAAAATGTCCTATGATTTGATGCATCTAATAGCATATATCTTCCCTTGAACAATATCATCTTCCATAAACACAAAAATTTTGTATCTATGGACACAGCCTAGCATGCTCATAATTAGCTGGTTTTCTAACTAACTATACCATAGTAAATCCTCAACTCAGATCTGAGTGTCCTATGAGAGTTCTTTGAAATGAAGCCATGTGTAATGCTGAAGAGCAACTGAACTACTCAAGGCCTTTGCAGCACAATCTCTGGAAGGATGAACAACATTTACTGTTTAGCAATGTAAATTCCCTCACCAGTTGTTATCTCCTTGTAATCAAACATAAAAGTGAAGACAGAGGAAATCTTTTCATAAGGAAAATGCAAGTATTTAGTAAGGTAAGTCTAGTAATTTATTGTCCTGAGCAACAATGAAGTGAAATAAAATTTCCAACTTACTCAGTCAGGTTTTCTCCCTTTGTTTTCCACCAGACCTGAATATTGCTAGTTTATGGCTACTAAGGTTGAGATGTTTTAAGTATTATTGACTTTAAAGAAACCACAGTCCTCCTCCAGCACCTGATACAGGTTTTCAAGACTCTTGGATCTTGCAGATACTTTTGTTTTAAGCAAGACTGATTGACTGACTGACTGACTGACTGATTGATTGATTCATCATATGGCACATTTTAAGCAAGAATCTGTGGCCAACAAGTAACACTGTGGAACCTTGTGCCAGCTAAAAATACCACTTCCTGAATGGTCTATCTATAGTTTGAACAATGTTACATTTCAAATATTTTTTTCAGTGTATGATCTAATGATTTCACCAACAATATCAGTGCTTAATCCCCTACTTCTGCATTCAAATTTATTTCAATTTATATAATCACTCACTCACTAAACATGGGCAAATAATAAGGGTTAAAAATAATACATACATACATACATACATACACGTGTGTATATAGGTATGTAGGTATGTGAGTTTTATAAAAATACATATAAAACCAGCAAAAATGTATGTTCTACATCAGCGATCCCCAACTTTTTTGGCTTTGTGGATCGGCGGAGGGGAGAAAGAGGATAGTTCCATGGAAGCAGTGGGTGAGTACATGCAGCTCAGGGGTGAAATCTAAATTTTTTTGCTACCAGTTCTGTGGGCGTAGCTTAATTAGTGGGTGTGGCTTAATGGTAAGGTGACTGGGAGGGCGTGGCTTGTTGGTCAGGTGGGCGTGGCCAAGTCAATGTCACTTCTTTGCCCTTTTTTAACCTACAAAACACAACACAACACAACTGGCTCCCCCACAATATAAAAGCAGCTGTGCTAGACCCAAAATGGCCCCTGCAACAAGCAGGAACCTCACACAGCCACAAAAAGCCCCCCCAAAAAACTTTCACACTTTACACACACACAACACAACACAACACAACACAACTGGCTCACCCACAATGTAAAAGCAGCTGTGCTAGACTCACAAAATTCCACATACAGCTTTGTGAGATTTTGTGTGTTTGTGTAGTTAGAGTGAAACACTACAGAAACACACAAAATCTCAGAAAGTTGCACAAATATTATTTTACTTTATTTTATTTTTATTTTTATATAAAAGCAGCTAAATTTAAAACTTCCTAAACTTTAAATGGCTAGGTCTAAAATAAAGAACAACTAAAAAAACCCCCAATTAACTATTTTTTTTAAAGCTCCCAAAGGGGAAAAAAACTTACCCAATAGAACAGGGGTCTCTAACCTTGGCAACTTTAAGACTTGTGGACTTCAACTCCCAGAATTCCTCAGCCAGCTTTGCTTTGCTGGCTGAGGAATTCTGGGAGTTGAAGTCCACAACTCTCTGCCAGCTTGATTGCAGGCAGGGAGATACAGTTGCTTGCTGATTCAATCGATTGCAGGGATTACAGCAAGGCATGGCGACCAGCAGCTAAGGTAAGCAAGCTGAGGGGGGGAGGGGGGGTTGCTACCAATTAGCAGGCAACAGCTGGGATCGTCAGAGCTTGGCTGGTCAGAGCCATTTAAAAGGAAAAAAGTTTTTTTCTTTTACATGGCTCTGGCGATCCAGGCAACTTAGCTGGAATCATCAGAGCTGAGCTCTCAGAGCCATTTAAAAGAAAAAAAAAGGCTCTGATGATCGCGCGGCTCTGCTGGGCATGGGGGGCGGGGGCAGGAATTTTTGCTACTAGTTTTCTGAACTTCCCGCCACCATTGCTACCTACTCGCCTGAGCCGGTCCAAATCGGGAGCATTTCACCCCTGATGCAGCTCCAATTGAGTGAGTGGCGGGATGGAATTTTGCGTGTGTGCTTGCCTGCCACTTCAACAGCCCGGTTCCAAATGGGGACTCCTGTTCTACATGATTTGGAAAGACTGGATTTACACTTCTCATCTACTGTAGTAGTCTATGCACAACCACCTGGAAAGAAGGACTAATCATATTAATGATACTGACAAATATAAGAAAGTCTGACCAAGAACTGGTTGAAGCCTACAGTAGATGAACTATAGCTAAGACTGCTCGTTTTGGATGTGATACAAAATAGGTAGTGAAACTCAATCCATAGAAGTATCTTTCTTATTTGTTATATTTACTGTTGTCCAGAAATATGCTGATGGAAGAGATAAAGGCAAAAATGAAAATAAAAAGTTTTTTCTGCCTTGATTTAACTGGCCACAATAGAAACAAATCTGGGGAAATCAATATGAAGAAATTATAGAAGACTGTGATATAAATATCATATCAATATTGATGATGTGTTGCATCCAAAAGATGAGGAAAGTACGGATAAGAGTGATCTGCTCCAATTAATGAAGAAACTGATACTGGACTATATAACAAGAAATTTTAAGTGAGGTCACAAATGTCTCCTATAGGAAACAAGTCAGGAAGCCCACCACTATCGAGTAGTACATTTCTCTACAAGATTGGAAAAGGGAAAGTATAGTAATAAAGATAAAAGTGGTACTAGTGTTAGGGCCAATATTTGCAGAACTGAATGCAAAACTGGAATTGAAGAAATACCAATAAACAAAATTTTGGTGGGGATGCAACACCAGACTGTTGGCATTTGCAAAGTCCATTTCAAAATAAAAACAACAAACAACAAAAACCCACCCAAAATGAACTGCCAAGAACTATCACTGGAACATTGAACTGTTTTTTGAATCAAAGCCAAAATTCTGCTATAGAAGATGCTCTGGAATACCGAAGTCTCCTGCCAAAAACTTTACATTTGAATTCTATGTAGTATGGGATAATATTCATGAGGAGAATATGTATGGTAAACCACAATGCCCACAATGAATAAGATGATGTAACACTTTAAAATAATGAAAGGTTTTCCTGAATATTGAAAATAGTGAAATTATTTTCCCCAGATTTAAAAACAAAAATACATTCTAACAGTATTTCTTGAACTTTTTTTTTCTCATGAGCTCCCCACTTTTTAAAACAATGTAGGAGTTCAATTTATGTGGGTTGTATTTCAATATTTACTGAATTAAAAATTAAAACTGACACATTCACTGCTGCTACAATTATTTGATGGGGTTTTAGTCTACATTACAGAAATTTTTTTTTTTATTGCAAAAGTTTTACAATTACATTTTCACCCCTTTTTTCACCCCCCCACCTCCCTCCCCAAACTTCCCGTCCTCCCTAACCCTCCCTAACCCTCCCCCCCCAGACTTCCCTATTATGTACTCATAACTAATAACACTGATATATATACCTGAACCCATCCCTCCCCCTATATAATTTCCCCTCTTTGTCTCTTTATATTAAAATATTTCTAATACATTGTTTTTAAATAAAAGCTATTTGATACTTTCTAATTTGGTATTTGTTCTGAACATATTCTATCCACCTTTTCCATTCCCATTCATAAGTCTCTTGTGAGCAATCTTTTAAATATGCTGAAATCTTCGCCATCTCTGCAAAACTGGCCATCTTCGAAGTCCATTCCTCGATAGTAGGCAAAGCTTCATTCTTCCAATATTTACCTATCAACAATCTTGCTGCTGTTATCATATACAATATTAATTTTGTTTCATCCCGTGTAAAACCCTTAACTATGCCCAATAAAAACAATTGTGGAGAAAATTGAATTTTTTTCTTCAAAACATTCTGCATGACCCACCATATTTTTATCCAAAAAGCCTTAACTTTCCTACAGGTCCACCAAACATGATAATACGTAGCATCCAAACATTCACATCTCCAACATTTTGGCTGAACATTAGGGTACATACATGACAACTTTTTAGGATCTAAATGCCATCTATAAAACATTTTATAAAAATTTTCCCTCAGATTCTGCGACTGTGTAAATTTAACATTCTGAACCCAAATTTTTTCCCATGTTTCCAACATCACTGGTTCTTCAAAATTTTGTGCCCACTTAATCATGCAATCTTTAACTAATTCCGTTTCTGAATCCCTTTCTAGCAAAACATTATAAAGCCTTTTAATATGCATTGGACCTTTCTCTCTTATATGTCTAACCAATTCTTCCTCATGCAACATAATACCAGTTTTTTGGTCCTCTTTCCATCTCAATTGTAATTGATTATATTGTAACCAGGTTAAATTAATCCCTTCATCCAACAGTGTCTGCAATGTCTTCAGCTGCCATCTGCCCGCATCTGTAAAAAGAACCTCTTTGTATAAAAACCCCCCGAGTGACATTATATTTGTATTCCACAAGGTATGACCAAGATCCAGCCATAGCGGTATTTTATAATCCCATTTGAGTCGGTGCTTCTTCCAAACTCTCATCAAAGAGTCTCTAAGTATATGACTTTTAAATACTTTATCAACTTTGTCATCATAAAATAGGTAAGCATGCCATCCAAATTCAAGATCAAAGCTTTCTGCATTCAATATTCCAGCCTTTTTACCCCCAAACCAATCACTTGTTAAAGTTAAAACTGCTGCATCATAATATAACTGTAGGTTTGGAAGTTTAAGGCCTCCTCTTTCTGGAACATCTTGCATAATTTTCAATTTCACTCTCGGCTTTTTCTCGTTCCAGACGAACTTATTAAGTCCAGTTTGCCAAACTTTCAGTTGTTTATCACTTTTAAGCACCGGAATCATTTGAAACAAAAACAGAAATCTTGGCAAAATGTTCATCTTAACTGCTGCTATTCTTCCAAGTAAAGACAGTTGCAGCTTTTTCCAAGTCTCCATGTCTTTCTGAACCTCTCGCCACAACACCTCATAGTTATTTTGAAACAATTTCATGTTTGATTCTGCAACCTGAACTCCAAGATATTTTACCTTAGGTACAATTTCAAAACCTGCCCTCCTTTCAAGCTCATGTTTACGATCTTGTGTCATATTTTTGACTATCATTTTAGTCTTTTTTGAATTCAGTCTAAAACCTGAA